CATTCAACAATTTGTTTGACATTGAACAATTGATAAAAAATTTGACATTGACAATTTAACAACATATTCAAATTAGATAAAACAAACATAATTTATTTTCAACTTTGACAATTGAAACAGAAGATCGGTAAAAACCAAATTTGTTCGACATTGTCATACAAACATTGAACAATTGATAATAATTTTAACATTGACAATTGAACAACATATTCAAATTAGATAAATCCGACACAATTTATTTTCAACTTTGACAATTGAAACAGATGAACGGTTCAAATTTGTTTGACATTGAACAATTTGCTAGACATTAAACAGTTTGTTTGACATTAGATAGTTTATTTGACATTCAACAATTTACTTGATCAAGCGAAAACAATTTATTTTCAAATTTGATAATTGAAACAGAAAAACTGTAAAAAAACAAATTTGTTTAACATTGAACAATTTGTTTGACATTAAACAGTTTATGTTTAATAAACTAATAGTATATTCAAATTAGATAAAGCGAACAATTTCAGCAATTGATTACAGAAGAACGATAAAGACCAAATATATTTGACATTCAACAACTTGTATGACATTGAACAATTTGATAATCATTTTGACATTAACAATTCAACAAGATTTTGACAAGCTGTCAATATGATCAAGATTAATTTAATTTTGATGTTTATGTTATTAAACATTAAATTCAATTTTAAATTAAAGTTTATTTCTATAAAAAATATTCTTAGATTTAGTAATTATGTCTTCAAAAAAAATAGACTTGCAATTTCAAATTTGAAACAATTTTGACAGTTTGTAGATGTCAATACATTTCAAATGCAATTATTAATCTATTTATTTGCTAAATAAAAAATACAACATTTTTGAACATCCAAATAAATTTAATTGAATCGTTAACTTTTTATGAAAACTACTACAAAAATCCTTAATTAAAATGTTCATCAATAATTCCAATTACTACTAATTACTACAAAGTCTGTTTATATTTAGAGTTTCAATTGAATCGACTAATTTTATTCGAACTCATCGTTAAACCCTATTAAGTTTAGTAAGCATAATCAATTTTAAAAGGTAAGTTTAATTGCGACACATAACCTACATTTAGTCAACAAATTTATTGTTGATTTGCATTTATTATTTTGCGATGAACTTTGTTCTGCGTCCCTTTGCAGAATACAAAGTTGGCTGCTCCATAAAAAAATAAATGCAAATACTTCAAAAGCGAACTGTAAACAACAACAACACAAAAAAAATAACACAAAAGCACGCAAAAAGATTACAATAGGAGGAGTCTCGCATCGCTGAAATCGAATCGCGCTTGAAGATGAATTTAATTGGTCTTCAGATATTTGGCATTTCGGCGAATCAGAGATTGTTTGTTTCTTCAGAAAATGGTTGAAGCTTTATTGCGATTATATTATGATATAATTATAATAAAATAGTTTTTTTTATATCATTTTAATATTAATTAAGTTAACAAATAAACAAACGAATTGATTTTGCATTAAATATAAAATTCAACAAATAACACAAGAAAATTAAAAATATAAAAAAGAAAAATTTTCTTTAATTTTTTTTTGTTTGTTTAATTAATCATTAAGTACAATACTTAAATATTTAGTATATAATTAATTTATTTTAATCTTAAATCAAAAAATTATAGAGGTGAACAAATAATTATGATTACAATTTATTGGCCAAAAATTAACTTCAATACATTCTTTTTATTATTAATTATAAACTACAAAAATAAAAATAATAATACTAATTGAATAGTTAACATCTGACCAAGAAACTTAAATTAATTTTTAATTGTTACAAATAAAGTAGTTTAAAATATTGAAATTATATTGATACAAGAAAGTACAAGATGTGATATTTTTAAGGAAGTTTAAAAATTAATAAGTACAACGAAACTTCGCATAGTGCGGGTAATCAGTTATCGCGATGTTTGAATCCGGACTAATCGAGGACTTTTATTTCACTGAGTTAAAATTCGATCGATCGAAAACGCATTATGCGAGGTATTGCTGTTAATTATTTATAAGACTGCAAATGTAAGTATTCTTGAAACCTTAGAAAATATTTATTTTTCAAATAATTAACCATAACACAAATTATATATAAATTAATTTTAAAGTATGAGAAATTCAATTAATTGAGTTTATTGTTTTTATCCATTTTTTTGTTATACTAAAAGTATTATATACTTGTATGAATATTGTTTTTTTTTCTTCAAATTTGCAATTAATTATTTTATATAAAAAGTAAAAGTTGTGAAAACTTCAAAGATTAAAACATTAATAAGTATATTTTTTTATTGAACTGAAAATTCGAATGTATTGTTAGTCAGAATTTGGACAAAAGACTTTATATAGTATTTATTTTCCAATCAATTATATAATACATAGCTGTCATACATAGCAAAAATGACAGTTGCCATCTTGACGAAATGACAGCTGTCACCTTGTGTCAAAACGTCAAAAAATGTTATAAACTATTGTATCGTAGAACTACTACAAACAAAAATGTTGGATTGTTTCGCAAAAAAGTAGAGAAATACTGTAGACTAATAAAAAATTAAGTGAACTTTGAATGGAAATGAAAAGTAATGTAACTACAAATCTGAATTGAATTATTCTTGAAACTTTATGAAATATTATATTTTGGTATTATATCATGCTTACTAACTTTTTAACAAAATTAAACTTTCTACAACTTTGAATAAAATTTTTGTCATAGTAAAAGTATTTATGTTTGCATCAAAATTGTTTTTCTTAACAATGATAACGACTGTGTTAATTAGTTTATGTTAAAAAAAATTGAAAAATGTACCAAAGAGTTTAATTTCATAAAACTTTTATTAAAAAGAATATTAATCGTACATACAATATACAGCACACTTAAGAAAATTTTAGATGAAAATGAATTTTTGCGAATTTAAAAGAATATAAAATCGTTATATGATTCAAGCTTTTGATAATATTAAGACTAATTTTGTAGTTTAATTTATTGGTTCATTTAGTATTGTGGATTCAGTAAATTATATGAAAAATTCAAATTTCATATCTAAATATTCTTGAAATCTTATAAAATATTTATTTTGGAATTATTAAACTGTACATATTATAAGAAAACTAATTAATATTGAAAATTAAGACAATTTTAAATGAAAATGTATTTATACTAATATAAAAGATTTAAATGAAAATGTATTGGATAATTATCGTAAAATCGTTAAGTGAGTTAAGATTTTGTCAATCTTAATACTAAATTTTGTAGTTTTTTTGTTTTTATTTTGCAATTATTTAACGATAAATATTATATAAAATAATAAAACTAAATCTAAATATTCTTGAAATCTCATAAAATATTTACTTTGCAATTATTAAACTATACATATTATAAGAAAACAAATTAATATTGAAAATTAAGACAACTTTAAATTTACAAATTTATTCGAATGTAAAAGATTCAAATGAAAATGTATTGGATAATTATCGTAAAATCGTTATGTGAGTTAAGATTTTGTCAATCTTAATAATAAATGTTGTAGCTTTTTTGTATTTATTTTGCAATTATTTAACGATATATATTATATAAAATAATAAAACTTAAGACAATTTTATGTTGAAAAGAATTTATACGAATATAAAAGATTGCAATGAAAATATATTGATTCAAGTTTTCGACAATCTTAAAACTAAATTTTATAGTTCAATTTATTGATTCATCTAGCGTTGTGGATTCTGTAAATTTTATGAAAAATACAAATTTCATATTTAAATATTCTTGAAATCTCATAAAATATTTATTTTGGTTATTATTAAACTATACATATTATAAGAAAACAAATTATTGTTGAAAATTAAGACAATTTTAAATGAAAATAAATTTATACGAATGTAAAAGATTCAAATTAAAATATATTGATATTTTTTGTAAAATCGTTATGTGAGTTAAGATTTTGTCAATTTTAATACTAAATTTTGTAGCTTTTTGTATTTATTTTGCAATTATTTAATGATATATATTATATAAAATAATAAAACTTAAGACAATTTTATGTTGAAAAGAATTTATACGAATATAAAAGATTGCAATGAAAATATATTGATTCAAGTTTTCGACAATCTTAAGACTAAATTTTATAGTTTAATTTATTGATTCATCTAGCGTTGCGGATTCGGTAAATTTTATGAAAAATCCAAATTTCGTATCTAAATATTCTTGGCATCTCATAAAATATTTATTTTATAATTAATTAACTATACATATTATATAAAAAAAAATTGATTTATTATTGATAATTGTCGTTTTTGACAATTTCAAGAATTTAGGAACTGATATTGTTAAAAACAAACTAGTATCACAATCAAATTTGTTGGGTCACCCAGTATCAGAAGGATTCGAAAGCGTGGCGGGAAAGGATAATCCGATGATTATCGATGAAAACCGATCGAGCTCCACCTGACGTCGCGACGTAGAAGCGCATCTCGATTCGACACATCGATTTCCTCTGACAGGTTGCCTCGTTTTTGCTATGCGAAAGAAGAAAAAAGCACACGCACATATTTTTGTCCTAGCGAAAAGGTGCAACCCGAAAAACGGTCGGTAGGTGGTGATCAAGAAGTGACAGTTCATTCACGACCAATGAGCGTGCGTAACAATTCCCCCACCACCGATCCTAAGTGCTCCTAGGACCGGTCGATTCACCATAACCCCGAGAGCGATAAGTTTCCTTTTCCAAAACTACGTTAGCACGCGCGCGTTGCGTCGCGTGTTCCACAGCCATACAAACTCGCCGTCGCGAAGATGTCCATCATGAGCTATCATCTGTCCAGTAAATATCTCTGATACATTTGACATGCGTCCTAAACTGCTGCAGATCTGATCCGGGTTGCACCACACTAACCATCAAAATTTTCTCCAAAAAAAAACAATAATTATCAATACCAAAATTTAGTTTTTCTCTCTCTCTCTCTCATTCATTTACAACTACAAAAAAAAACAATACACAAAGTACTCGAAAATTTTAAAGAAAACCAAAAAAAAAAAATAATTGAACAACATCGGAAGACAATTGTCAAGTTATCATCAGTGGAAGCAGCTACCACCATGGACAAGCCCCAGGAAAAACGGGTCTACAAACTCGTGCTCACAGGCGGTAAGTCAACCACAATCCACGTTTTATTACATACGCATAACGTTCGAATTGTCAACCTCAAAAATGTTCGCTACATCAAAACTTTACAATCTAAATCCTTCATTCACGTGCTATTTCCACCAAAATACTCAGCGTGTATTATTTAGCGGCAAGGTTAACTTGCCGACATGCTGTTCATTTCTTTTTTCAAACTCTCATCCAATCTATATAGAGAAAAGCGTAATTCAGAGTGACTTCGATCAAAAAAAAAAAATAACAACATCGCCGTTGCGAAAGTTAAATGTAAATATTGGATGGTCCAGAGTGGACTGATAAATGTTGATGATAAGTACGTTTTTGCAGCGATAAGTTTCATAAGCAGACAAAATAAACATTGAGAATTCCATTTTTTTTATGTAATTTATTTACTTTTCTGACGTTCGCAATAATATTTAGACAAATTTTACAACTCGTTTCAACTTATAATTCCATGATTTTCAAATTGTTATGGGTATAGACTTAGTTAACTTAGTTTAGTAATGATATTTAGTAGACTTTTCCAAGTCGATTCATATCCTAGGGTTGTTAGTGCAAAGTATTTAGTAAATTTCTATAATTTATTATTTAGTAATTTTTTAATCTTCTAATTAGTCAATAATTTTCTTTAATTTTATATTTAGTAATATAATAAATCACTTTTTTAAATTTACTTATTTTTATGCATAAATTTGTACTACGTATTTGTATTGATAATTTTGAGTTCATTCACTGTTATGTTGTGTTATTTTGAAATAATCAAAATTTTATAATTTATATCAATCAATTCTAACGGGAATTTTCAAATATAATCCCGTAAAAATACAGTAAAATTAGATAACATTATCTTCAACTTTTTTTGTTGAAACTAGTTTTTTGTTCTGTCATAATTTCCCATCTTTAATAATTCGAATACATTTTAAATCTAAATTTTAAGCTAATTATCTAATTACGTAATTAATTAAGTGTTTGAATGCATTAAAATTTAACTTTAATTTGTTATAACTTGTCAGATAAATAATTAAGTTTTGCAAGTTAGTGGAATTATTCGCAAATGTGAATATAATTTTCTGGAAGCTGTGAATGGAAAATTTTGTATGAAACTTTCCTGGAAATTGATTGGGTTCAGTAACTTTGGAACAGGTAGCGGTTGGAAATTCCCCATACCGAACATGAAAGAAAACCTTTTCGGTTACGAGACATCTGTTCTTACGCCTTTATTTCAAACACGTTTCTGATACAAAGCTTTACAAATGTACATTTCTCTCACTTACATAACACGATTTTTTAATCATCGTCTTTAGTATTTCTGTTAAAATTTTACATTAGTTTTTTTATTAATTATTCGTAACTAAAGATGAAGGATATTTAATTGAAAGTTTTTAAATACAGATTTGACGTATTAAAATGACATGTGTCAAATTGACAGTTTTAGGTTGAATTATATATTTGAATGCAGAGTGTCGTGGTTCAAGTAATTATTGACATGTTTTATTCAGTTTTTTGACGTTAATTTGTTGTTTTTATTTACTCTATTTACTTAGTTGACAGATAAATAGTATTGGCGTTAAAAATAGACAGATGTCAAATTGATAGTTTATTATTAAATTATATAATATTTGATTGTAGGGCTGACGTTAAAATTTGACAGCTGTCAAATTGAGATTTATTGGTTAAATTAGATAATATATGAATTTAGGATGTCTTCAATCAAGTGATTGGCAGCTTATGAAAAGTTAAACAATGTACGTGGAGGCCAGTATTTGAAATAGAGATATATTTAAAAAAAATATAAACTTGTTGCAAAAAAAAAGTTAGTCAAAAACTCTTTAAAAATGTCAAATTGACAGTTTTTGATTAAATTATATAATATTTGAATGTAGGGTTGACGTTCAAATTTGACAGCTGTCAAATTGATATTTAATGGTTATATTAGATAATATTTGAATTTAGGATGTCCTCAATTAAGTGATTGGCAGTTTATGAAAAATTAAGTAGAGGCTATTACTTGGAATTGGAGAAAAACTTGTTATTATGAATTCAGCTTTGATCAGTCAAAAAAAAACTTTAAAAATGTATTGTTTTTAAAATGTTTCTATGAAAGAGCAACGATTGTTTTGTAAAATATCACGTCTTAAACTGGATGTATTAATTTCCCCAACACGCGATTAGAATCAACACCTTCGTAGTGAAATGGTCGTAGCCTTGTGTTGCGCATTTGATTCAGTAAAGGAAGGATAACGAAATTGCAACATAAGTGTATAATGGAAATTCACGTTCAAATGCATTAACTTTAATTACATTCATTTCCTAGTTAAACAGTAATTAATGTAAATCTCGTGACTTTTCGTGTATATTTACATCAAATTTTGATTGACGATGTTTCTGACTTTTTTAAAGTAATTTATCATGCACACTTTACGTTACGCTTTTTTTGGCATTCATCCATTACAACAAATTACGTTTCCTGGATGTAGGTTGATATTTATTTGTTTGTTTTGGTTTACAAGTATTTATATTACATTTGCGTCGTTGTTTTTTTATTACATCGATGTTTTGTTTATGAATTATTTAATTGTGGTTAGTGCAAAAATTTAATATTTACCAAGAAAAAAACAAAACAAAACGAGAATATTTATATTTTTAGTTTAATTTGATTTGAATATTTTTATGTCTCTTTTAGAAATTTTCACTTAATGAAATTCTGTGTAAATAAATATATTTATACAAATTTTGTGGTAATTTATAATTTAATAAATTAGATAAAAAAAAGTTTGTGGAAAATTTTAACGAATGACATATTAAAATGAAACAGAATGTGCGGAAACTGTTGATAGTAATAATTTGTTATCGTTAAATACAATTTCCTTATTTCAGTTGATATATTTTTGTATATGAAACTTCACAAAACAGCTAAATTTTTACATGCATTTGTTTCATATTGAAATAATTATAAAATATAATTAAATTATTGAAAAATTAATAATTTAATTTCGATTTTTTATACTTAATTCAGTATTTTAGTAACAATTTTTTAAGCAATTTTATGTATTAATAATATTATGAATTTTTATAATAGAAAGTTTTTACCATAGATACTTTACTTTTATAAACTGTCAAGTTTATTTTGTTTGACAGAATTTTGACATGACGTTTTTCTTTGACAGAAGTCAACTTGTTAACATTACCTGTCATTTTAATTATTTTTTTCTTATTATGTCGGCAGTTATATTAATTTTATTTGTAGTGTCTACTTATTACGTATATAATATTTATACAGAAAATTAGATTGACAAAAATTACAATTTTTTGACGTTAAAAGTCAATTCTCATTTTTTTGACAGAACTCAACTTGTCACAATTACCTACGTCATTTTTTTGTAATGATTTAACAATATGATCACTACTACTTATTTATTATTTTATTATGTATTTTATTTAATAAATTAAAGTTTATACAGAAAATTATGATCAATTTAAGCATTATAACTTTTCTAAACTGTTGAACATTTTTTCACGTAAACGTCATATGTCATTATTTTTTGACAGAACTCAATTTATTATAATGATTGACGTTAAATGTCAAATGTCATTAATTTTTAACAGAACTCAATTTGTTACAATGATTGGTACTATTTATTTATTCTTTTATTATGTATATAAAGTTTATACAGAAAATTATAATCAATGCTAAACTTTTCTAATCTGTCAAATATTCCATTGTTTCATTACGATTTTTAACGTTAAACGTCAAATGTCATTATTTTTTGACAGAACTCAATTTATTACAATGATTGACGTTAAATGTCAAATGTCATTAATTTTTGACATAACCCAATTTGTTACAATCATTACTACTGTTTATATATTCTTTTATTATCTATATAAAGTTTATTATAATATCATGACAAAAATGCATTATTTCACTTTTTAATTAAAGAATTATTTTTCTATGATAATTGTTAATTAAATAAATTGATTTGTTGTTTAAAAAAGTTAATTTCATAACTAAATATGTTTCTAAAAGTATACGAGTTGTTTTTTAAATAATCGAAATGCGAATTCGAATGAACTTGTTAACTGAGACCAAACATATTTGTTTATAGCTTAAAGCAAATAACGAATCACGTGTCTGCTACACATCATCTCACAATGTCGCAATTAACGACGAGTTTCAGATTCCAAAGGCGACACCGAGTCTACACATAATCCAATTCCAATGAGGATGTTTATGTAACCTAATCTAACCTATCCTATACACAGTCTTACAATACTAACAATAATCATAATATCTTTGAAGCGGAAACTACTGTATACAAATAATAACAATAATTAATGAATTATATAAGAAAACGATGATTGTATTTTTGTTGTTGTTGTTGTTTTAGGTCCCTGTGGTGGAAAAACTACAGGTCAGAGCCGCCTATGCACGTTCTTCGAAAACTTAGGATGGAAGGTAAGAAAAGAACCAATTGTTAAATAACTATTCAAATTTGGTGATGAGAAGGTAACCAGAATATCAATATAGAAAAAAAAAACACTTCAACTATCTGGAATTCACTATAGTTTTCTTAAATTCTTTTTTGAATCAATCAGATCAGAACTTCAGAACTGTCAGATTTATTTTTTTTTTGCAATTTTTTTTCTGTTTATTTTTTTTTTATTATAATTGTGATATTATTTGGATTTGGGGGGCGTTTGAACATTGTTGGCATTTCATCCTTGTTTGCAGGTATTCCGCGTACCTGAGACCGCAAGTGTACTACTCAGGTAGGTATTTTAATTACGGTAATACAAAACAAACCAAAAAAAAATTAAAAATTAGTCAATTTTCAAACTTTTCTTACGAATTATTCAATTATTGGAGAATTTCTCTCTTTAAATATTATTATTGTTTTCTTCCTCTTTTTTTTTTGTTTTTCTTTTCGATTTTTCTTATCTTTTGATTAAGCGTTTGAGCTTAATGTTAAAAATCACGTCAAGTTAATAATTAATTTAAAAAAAAAAGTAATAACTTCAACTGAATTTCCTTGCAAATTTCTATAATATTGTTCAATGTTTCTGATTGCAGTGGCGGCGTCAAATTCAGTGACCTCAATGAAGATGAAGGTGAGTCAATTTTCTATACACTTTAAATTTCTGAAAAATAATTATAAAAAAAAGTGACAAAAGTGACAAATAAAACAGATGTCAAAAAATAAATGACAAAAAATAGAATTTTAACAAACTGTCATATGTCATAAAGAACTGTTACTGACATAACTGTCATTATATAACAGTGAAAACAATGACACTGAAAATTTTGATTTATAAAAATTAAAATTCTGAATGTTTTGATAATTAAGTATTATTAATTAGTCACTTGTAAATACAAATCCTATACCAATATTATTAAGTCAAACTTAGGACAAAGTTGGGAATTCTTATAACTTATAAAGAAATGATTATACAAAATTTATAGAAACTTGATTATACTTATATAAAGTAAAAAAGTAAAAAAAATTGTAAAGGTGAAAATTTTTACAAACTTAGGTATACATAAAGTTAGGAATTTTGTAAAGTGAAAACTTATGTTCAATTTACAAAATTTGTATAAATTATTTTATTAGCTGCATTTAAAGAAACGTTAGTACAAACTATGCACAAAGTAGTAAATTCATGAATTTAATAATGCAAACATGTCAAATTAAATGGTTAAGAGGATGTCTTACAAAGCGTTACATTACTTAAGATACTCATCGTGGGCCGCATTTGGCCCGCGGGCCACGAACTTCAGATGGTTATTGTAATGTATGTGGATACGCAAATTAATATTGAATTTAACAAAACGAAGGTTGAATGTAATTCGTATAATTGGATATTAAGAATTGATTTATAAATGTTATCGATAAATCGAATCGTATGCCAGGATAAACACATCGGCGGAGGCTTTGGGCATGAGGCCAGAAATTGCCGCACGTAGACCGAACTTCTCTCATTTTCTTTCCTTCTCTTCCACTTTATCTATATATACACGCACACATAAGTAAATATATATGTATATTCATTTAAATACAGAAGATTCTGACATTTGAGATTGCCCGGCGGTTACGTAACCGGAGCTTTCGCGCCTTTATTTGAAAAAAATAAACCGGAGTGTGCGTAACGTCGCATCTTCGTAGTGTTGGTAGGAGTGTCTGCTTACTTGAATGAATCATTGATTATTCATCAATATCTCATATCGTAATTCATGAATGAATGAAAACGAATCACAATGAAAGCTAATTATAATAAATATTTCTATTGTTAATCACGAAAACGTGTTTTGATTAATTAATTTAGTTCAGGGTAAATTATTTAAATATCTTCAAAATTGAATGTAATAATTATGTTATTTAATAATTTTTTTAAATTTTTACAATCTGGTAAATTTCAATTAAAAATAACGATTTAAAAATTTTGATTATAAAATAATTTAAAAAAAATCTATATAATCTTTTTATTATTTTGAAATTTGATGAAATTTTTGATTATATAACGATTTTGTGTTATTGATATAATCGAATTCTTGATCTTAGTCCAATAATGATCTGTCTGATAATAATCTTTATTAATAAGTGCAAGTACGTAAAATTTGTCATAATAATGTGATTTATATTAAAACTAATGATTTGTCTCATTAAGTGTACGTTTTGCCAAGAAACTATTGAATAATTTGGCAAATAATCATCTTGAATTTTAAGCACTTTTAAAATTTGTTTTGTGTCTTGTTTTTGGATGTAATCTGAAAATATCTGAAAATTTTAACTGAAAAATTATTGTTTATTTTAAAAACATTATTCAAGTTAAGATGCTGAAAGTATAAAAAATTGACTGAAAAATTCATGTTTATTTCAATAAAATATTTAAATCTTAGATACAGAAAACTGCTGAAAATTTTGAATGAAATATCTAAGTCGTTGAAAAAACTGATAATTTTGACTGAAATATGTATGTCGATGTAAAATACTTCATTAAATCTCATTAATTAAAAGTGTTGATTGATAAATTAATGTTCATGAAAATAACGTTATTAAATCTCAAATACTGAAACGAACTGAAAATAATGACTGAAAAATCTATATTAATGAAAGTACCATTACCAAATCTCATTATTTGAAAATAACTGAAAATGTTGACTAAAAAATCTACGTAGATGGAAATAACATCATTAAATCTCATTAACTGATAAAAACTGACGATGCTGACTGAATAATGATGAAAATAACATCTGCAAATCACAAATACTGAAAAGAACTAAAAATGTTGATTGAAAAATTCACGTTGATGGAAATAACATCATTACATTTCATCAACTGAAAAGAACTGAAAATGTTGGCTGAAAAATCCATGTTGATGAAAATAACATCATGAACTGAAAAGAACTGAAAATATTGACTGAAAAACATATGACGATGGAATGATTAAATCTCATTACCTGAAAAGAACTGAAAATATTGATAAAAGTCTTATATTATAATTTTATAATTTTTACATCATGAAATTGTGTTTTGAGTAGAGCAAAAATATAAATATTTTTTTGAATGTGAATAGTACATATCATAATCAACCTATTTTGTGTCTATTTATAAAAGCAGAACAACGTATAATAGTTTTATTTAGATAAGAAAGAAGCTCCACTTTCGGATTGAAGTGGTGCCAATTGAAATAATTTCTAATAATTTAAACTGTAGTGAAATTACCAACACGAGGCACAATCATCATAACACATACTAGATTATGTAATATTGCAATGCTTAGAAATTACCAATTGAAACTTTATTGTATTAAATATGTAATACTAACAATTATTACATGATTATATGTTTATAAATTGACTAGATTATCCAATGTTTGTTTGCATTTGGACATGAATTTGCGAAAAAATATACTGTGATTATTTATTTTTAAATTTACTGCAGCTATTTCGTAAATATATTCCTGTATTCCCTGAAAAGTGAACTTTCCACTCTTTTGTTTGATGTGTTGCCAACCGAAATACGCAGGGAATTTGTTTTTAGGGTTGAAGAAGTGCCAACTGCAAAAGCTATTTCTATAAGATATTTATACAAAAGAAAACATTTTTTTTAAAATTGAAAATAACAAAAACATTGTAATTTTGTTGCTAAAAATATTTTGTTTATTGAAGAGTATTTTTGTTAATTCAAATATTTATTGAAAAGTAATTTATAGAAGTTTGGTTAAAATGATATTAGGATCTACGCATTACTTGTTAAGTATATGTATTTGGTAACTTAGGCAAATTTGTATCTTGTATAGCAACTTAAATGAAATTTGTAATAAAGTTATACTTTACATACTACTTGTTAAGTAACTTGTCAAGTATTGGAAAATTGTTTGTGATATGTGTACCAACTTAAATTTGTAACTACATTTAGTTACTTGATCTGTAATTAATTTGTACTTAACAAAGTTTAGTTAAAATAAAGCTATTCATTACATAATACTTGTTAAGTAACTTGTCAAGTATATGTCATTGGTAATTTGGAAAATTTCTTGTGGCAGGTGTACCAACTTATTTTTTTTTATCAAGTAACTGATTTGTAACTTATTTCAACTTTTGGTAAAAAAGCTATACTTTACGTAATACTTGTCAAGTATATGTATTTGATCACTTAAAAAATTGCTTGTAGTATGTGCACCAACTTAAAATTTGTAACCATTTATAGTAACTTGATTTGGAATTGCCGCACTTAACAAGTACTTGGCAAATACTAGTCAATACTTGTCACGTAATTAAGATGTATTGACAATGTCCAAAGTTCAATGTGATTAGTGGAATTTCAGTTTTCAACACAAATAGACAAAAATAAATATGCGAACGTTAACTATAATCAAAATACCTTACATAATCAAAATAGAATCCTTTTTATAATTTTTCTTTTCTCGTATATTTGTTGATTTTTTTTGTCATTCTCGAGGACGAATCGAAAATTTATTTGAATGCCATTGTCTATGTCAGTCAAGGAAAAATGAGTTTCGTAATATCGCACAATTTTTCGCAATTTATCCTTTTCTCATTACGTGGCAAATATGCAAAATCTATTGGCACTACACTTCTTCGCTCGAGGGAAACACATTGGTAAAACCCGGCGCATCCGCGTCGATTGTAACGACCTTTTAATGAATCGTATCTTTTCTTCCTTCTGAATGAATCCGTCTAATTTTATCGACATTTCGCCGCCAACAGTCTAGAAAATTGTTGTGCAAAAATAGATTTCTACGCGTTTTTACAGACAATTACGTTTCTTCTTTCCACGAATTCAACTGTTTTCCAAACAGATTATCAATTCATTTAAAAAAAAAACATAAACATACTTCAACATACTTCAAATTTAGAAGAAAATTGTAGCAAAAAACACATTATTTCACTTTTTTAGTGAAAACGCCATCTATTCAAAAATTATGCAATTATTAAAGAGCTTTTTTTTTTCAATTTGATTAGGTTGATATAATTTTATCTACAAGAAATACGAACTAATTCTATGTCAATGAATTTTATTAATTTTATCGAAATTTCGCCGCCAATTTTCTTGTGTATTCTACAGACAATTACGTTTATGTTTTTCAAGAATTCAAATGTTTTCATCACAGATTATCAATAACTTTTGTAGACAAATAAACAGACTTTCAATTAAGAAGAAAATTATAGAAAAAAACATTATTTCACTTTTTAGTGAAAACGCCATCTATTGACAAATTATGCAATATTACTTTAATTAAGTTAATATTAATTACATCTACAAGAAAGATGAGCTTTTGTAAAACTAATTCTAAATGAGTATAGAAAATTAATTATTTTGTTATTGTGTTTTGAGAGCAAAATTTTTTGCACGTGCGGAATTCGAAGATAAACAGATTTGTTACAGCGTCGACGTTAAACTGATTTGTGCATACCGAAATTATAGAAAAGTCAATATTTGATTGGAGGAATTCGGTAATTCAAGTGTAGGAGCGAATTGGATTTTGAATAGTTCAGTTAGCATTGATGTTATATATTTATTTTTTTCAATATTTGCTAAGATTATTTTTTTGGCAAAACGAAATTTTTTGCAGAAGTAAAAAATATT